ATTTACACCAACCAATTTCGGACCACAAATATGTGTAGATATCATGGGAGTTACGACAATTCAGTCCGACATCGCAGTGATTGGTTCATAATCATGCCTCTTATTGGCCAATAATAAGAATTCTTGTCCTCTACTGTCATCCAAGAAGTAGAGGGGATACCCCCTTTTCTTTTGGTCCGCCAGGTTTCCCTATTATTTTGCAAAACAACGGTACCAGTCATGGCAATTGGTCCCGAGCTCAATCCCCTCCAAGAACCAAAATTGATTTGATTTTGATTTCAATTGAATAATTACAACCTCTTTTCTCGCTTCCTCTTGCGAACCTCCTTCAGTAAGCCAGTATAGCTGTCAGTGTAACCTGCATACGCAACTTCAAATTGCTCAAAGCACTGGTACTGTGAAAAGGCAACGCCCAATGTGTGCCGTTCTGAGTATTTTCGCCTGTCACATTTAACCATGTCCGCAGTAAAGTCCTTGATAGCACGAAACAAACCTTGCTTTGGGCATGGAGCAAACCATTGGTCCCACGCTTCCTTGCCAGATTTAGCAGTTGGAATGCTTCTGGTCTTGACACACTCGGTCATTTTCAACTGGCGTATTGTCGAAGGTACAGGTGCAGTTGGCGACTCAATTGGACCGTGGATGTCACTGAAGCCTCTCTTCACGGCCTCAACGATGGAGTCCAACGTCCAGCCACCTGAGGACCCATGAGAGACACCGAATCCATTCCCTTGGCCCCTCGACGCACGAAGTAGGTTCCGTGGATCGATCTCGTTGCTGATGCTTCTTGTAACCAAATACTCACAGCAGGTCTTCGCATCAGTCCATCGACACCAAGCCATGAGCTCGCGAAAATTAAAACGTCGCTCTTGGGACTCGAAAACCCGGTAAAAACATCCACCACGTCGCATACTGTGAAGTGATATGCCTATAGGTAGGCTTGGTGAAGATCGAACCATTTCTTGAAGATGACGACGGATGTAGTTCTGGTCAAGTTGCTTGAACCAATCAAGTCGGATATTTCCAGTGTTGATGCCAAGCGAGGGAAAGACATACGCCTCTTGGGGCAGGTTGTGATGTGTCGTACGAACGTTTTCAATGTACCCTTCGTACAGCACGCA